TGGACCACTAGTCAGGAAGTTTGGGCATCCTTTAGAAGCTAGGAAAGGTAATATATAGATTCTCCCCTCTGGCTCTCAGAAGGGATGCAGTCCTGCCAACCCTTTTCAGACTTGGCTCCAGGTGAATAATAGACAACAAGCTTAATATATAATTAATAATAAAATTGTGTTGTTTTGGGCCTCCCTGGTGGCCTAGGGGATAAGTCTCAGTGCTATCACCTCTACAGCCTGAGTTTGATTCCCAGGGAGCTTACCCAAATAAGTTGCAACAGACCTCTCCTGTCTCACCGGCTGCTCACCTAAGCAGTGTATCTCAGTAAATCTGCCTGTTCTGTTTGCCACTCTGTCTCTGGTGACTCCTCTCACCCCCTGCACCTCTGACCTTCATCCAACTTCTCCTATACAAAGACAAAATAAAACATTTTTTAAATGTTTGTTTTAGGGCCTCCCTGGTGGTACAAGGGGTTATGTCTCAGCACTTGAAGCTATCAGCAAACACTGCAGCATGAGTTCGATCCCTGGCCAGGGAACTAACTCACATGGCATAGCAGATCTCTCCTGTTTTGTCCACTGCTCCCCTCAGCAATGCATTTCAGTCAAAGTGTCTGTTCCACTCCCCACTCTGTGTCCGGTGAATTCTCTCACCCACCTCCACCCCGCACCTCTGGACTACACCCCAGCTCTTGTATGCATAAATAAAATAAATTTTTTAAAAATTGTGTTGTTTTAAACCATTCAATTTGTGATATTTTGTTAAATCAGCAATAGTAAATGTAGGAGTAGTTTAGTTAGGTTAAAAACTAAACCCCCACTCCTGACCCAGTAGACAGATTTGGAAGGCTGGAATAGATAGGGAATGGATATGACTGCCTTGCAGACAAGGCCATAAAACTGACCACCATGACCAGAAAAAACAGCCCAGCTCCAGGAATGCAGCAAAAGCCAGAACATGTTTCCGTGTCAAAGGCCAGTGCCTGAGAACAGATATCCCAGTGGGTAACTGGTGCAAACTGGTACCCCAAGTTAGAAAGCCCTTGAAAATGGGGCCTCCCCTGGTGGCACAGCGGTTGAGCGCTGGGCTGCGAAGCTGTCGGCAGCCTCTGCAGCGCCGGTTCGATCCCTGGTCGCCGGTGAGGGTCCCACATGGCTCGACAGACCTCTCCTGCTGTGCCCGCTGCTCCCCTCAGCAGTGTATTTCATCATCTGCCTGTCCTGCTTCCCACTCTGGCTCTGGTGAATTCTCTCACCCTCCCGTGCATCTGACTGTGCCCAGTGCTTGTATAAGTAAATAAATAAAATCTTTAAAAAAAAAAAAGCCCTTGAAAATAGAGTATAAAAGAGCCTCAAATCCTCCTTAGTGTGCACTGCTTGTCCTTAGTGTGCACTCCTTAGTGTGCACTGCTTGTCCTTAGTGTGCACTCCTTAGTGTCCACTGCTTCTCTTAGCAATGTCTTTTTTTTTTTTAAAAGATTCATTTATTTATTTATACAAGCACTGGGTACAGTCAGAAGCGCAGGAGGGCAAGAGAGAATTCACCAGAGCCAGAGCGGGGAACAGAGCAGGCAGAAGGACTGAAGTACACTGCTGAGGGGAGCAGTGGGCGCGACAGAGAGGTCTGTGTGCCATGTGGGACCCTCCAGTGGCCGGGGATAGAACCAGCGCTGCAGAGGCTAAGGACAGCTTCACAGCGCGGTGCTCAACCACCTGTGCCACCAGGGGAGGCCCAGCAGTGTCTTTTTTTTTTTTTAAAAGATTTATTTTTATTTATTTATACAAGCCCTGGGTACAGTCAGAAGCGCGGGAGGGTGAGAGAATTCACCAGAGCCAGAGCGGGGAGCAGAGCAGGCAGAAGGACCGAAGTACACTGCTGAGGGGAGCAGCGGGCGGCAGGAGAGGTCTGCGCGCCATGTGGGACCCTCTTCCGGTGGCCGGGGAGCAGCCGGGGATCGAGCCAGCGCTGCAGAGGCCGCGGGCAGCTTCGCAAGCCAGCGCTGCAGAGGCCGCGGGCAGCTTCGCAACCCAGCGCTCAACTGCTGCGCCACCGGGGAGGCCCCCAGCAGTGTCTTTTAATAAATCCATCTCCACTCTAGTAAATTCTTACATGCCCCATGCCTCTGGCCTCACCCCATCTTCTCCCCATAGCAGGAAACAAATGCACATAGGTAACAGAAGACTACGCAACTATTAAAGAGAATGAAGTAGAATACTTGTGAAACAATCTAAATGAACAAAATTGTGAGGCAATAGGATGTGTTGCCACCCAGTCCTGTTAGAACACGTGGACTAAATCATGGACTGGAGGCCTCTGTCCAAACAATTTCACTGTGAAGTACCATGCTACACAAAAAGCATTAGTTCCTGACTTATGATTTTCTCACAATTTTCATGGAGAAAAAAGGCCTAGATGTGAATGCACATTTGGAGTGTAACCATCTATACATGCTGAGGCATAGCCCAACCCAGAACAGTAATGACTGCTCTCCACCCCACCTCATGAACCTTCCCTTTAGGTCCTCCCTGGTGGCCTGCAAGTTAAGTCTCAGCACTATCACCCCTAATGGCCTGGGAGGGATGATCCTGGCCAGGGAGCTAATCCACATATGGTTCAGTAGACCTCTCCTGTCTCACCCACTGCTCCCCTCAGCAGTGTATTTCAGTAGGTCAGCCTGTTCTGCTCCCCACTCTGTCATTGGTGAATACACTCACCCCCTACAACTCTGGCCTGCACCCCAGCTCCTGTATGCATAAAGAAACCTTTTAAAAGAAAAATAAATCTGCTAATGGGGGTGAAGACAGGAGTGGATTAGAAATAGATTTATCATATGATGCAGCAGTCTCTCCCCTACGTGTTTAGCCAAATAATTCAAAACAATAATTTGGCAGATGTATGCATTCCTATGTTCATGACAGCACTATCCACACTAGCAAGCTATGGAAATAACCTAAGTTCCCAATGACAGATGAGTAGATAAAGAAGATGTGGCATATATACACAATGGAATACTACTCAGCTATAAAAAAAAAAAAAGGTGAAATCTTTTGTGGATTCCCCAGCCTCCCTTGTTCAGGATGTTGTCTTGTGCCCAAAGTTCCTGCTGGTCAAGCTAATATGTATAGTCAGGCAGGGGGCCTCTTGCCAGGACAAATGTCATAGTATGAGGAACAAACTGAAAAAAACAGTATCTGCCTAAAACAGCAGGCCGACATTATGGCCAGATTAGCATAACCAGCTAGACCACACCAGCTAGACCACACTGACAAAAAGTTAGGTGTAAACAGGAACTAGAGATAAAATGGTTTGATCAGCAGCAACAATGGAGCCCCCCAGGTAACAGCCCCTATTCACTCCCCCTACCTTGTGCCAGACAGTTATGCATCCCCAATACACATTCCCACCAGCACCGTCCTCCATTTACTTGCCCACCTTCCCTGAATCTGATTTCCAATAAATGTGAGACCTCCCTGGGAATAGGCCTGCATCTCCAGAGGCGCAAGTCCCTCTAGGTCTTGCTCTGTCTCCACTTAGAGTTGAGTTGTCTTCCCTCCATCCTGCACCACTCCACTCCCAATGCTGCTGCCCTGTGAGGTGACAATCTTTTCATTTTTAGTAAATTTTATTTACATACATACATTTAAAAAAAAGATTTATTTATTTGTGCACACAAGAACTGGAAGGTAGGCTGGGGGTGGTGGTGTGGGGAGGGCTGAGAGTATTCACCAGAGGCAGAGTGGGGCGCAAAACAGGTGGGATCTACTGAAATACACTGCTGAAGGTAGCAGTGAGCCAGACACGAGAGGTCTGCTGTGCCATGTGGGTTAGCTCCTTGGCAGGGGGGAAAGAACTTGTGCTGCAGTGGCTGCACTTAGCTTCAGAGTTCTGAGACTTAACCCCCTGCGCACCAGGGAGGCCCTAATTCAACACTCTTAAGCCTCTTCCCCCCCCTCCTTATGTATGTATTAACAAGGTGTTAATGGCATCGCCATCACAGGCTTGTCGAGACAAATAATATAAAACTTAAACTACAATGCCTGACACACAATAAACGCTCAAGGAGATGTTATTTTTTTTTTGTTTTTAATAGTAACATATAATTTACATCTAGTTATTTCTAGGTGCTAAACTCTAAGTGCTGCCAAATAAGTTTAAGTGATTTGTCCAAAGTAGGTCAGCAAGGGCACTGGTGGAAAAGGAAACCAAACACCGTGCTCCTAAGCATCTGTACGGTCTCTTATTTCCAGTATTCTCTAATTGTCTTCTTAAATCTCCTGTGTCTTCCCAGAGACTTAAAAGCACGGAGTCCAACTCCTCAGACTGCTCCTGGACGTCCAGAAGTTGCCTTTGCCGGCCTTTCTAGCACTATTTCTTGGCCAGGCTCTTTCACTATGAACATCTGCTTTTTTTTTTCAGGTGCTCAGCCTCGGAGACTTGACCCTTTCGCTCCCTCCACCTCTTCCGCGCCCACTGACCCTTAGAAAACCTCTCTCCATACCCACTGACTGCCAACACCCTGTGGGGTTCCGCGCCCCTGCGGTCCCGCAGCACTTTGTATTCCTCGCATCGCCGCGCTAAAACAAACACCGCGTTGTTGTACTCTGTCACCAAGTTGTGCACTATAAGGCAGAGACTGCGGCTTTTCTGACTTAGTATAGAGGAGGCAAATATCAAACAATTGCTACCAAAAGGATTTATCCAGGCAATGAACCAAATTTAACAATTGGGGGCTAGCTCAATTATCCTTTATTTGTAGTCTGCCCTTAATTGTCCTGGTGATGTTTTCGTTTTTTTTTTTTTCCTTTTCTTTTCAATTCGCGAGCGCCCAGGCGTACCTAGGTCCCCGCCTCCATTTACAGAAGAAATCGGTGGGATCAGAACGCACAGCCTGGAAGAGCCCGGATTGCTTAAACAGACAAAATGGCGGCCGGCCTTCAGCGGCCCTGAATCTCCACCCACTCAGGGCGGAGGTCGACGTCACGTGACCCTTTCCTGCCTGGCCCCGCCCTCAGCCGCATTGCCTGACGGGAGGCAGAGCACCGAACGAGGGCGTCGGCCATTTTGTGGCTGTTTCCTGTGGGACGCGGTGGTGGCGGTTGGGTCGGAAGAGTGAGCGGTTGTTCGCCTCGTTTTCCGTGTTTGTTTTCTTCTCCCTTTTACTTCGGCGGCAGAGCCCGGTTATGGGTCGCAAAAAGAAGAAGCAGCTGAAGCCGTGGTGCTGATATCCTTTGTCGGTTTGAAGTGGAAGCCGAGTGGTGGCGTGGGTTGTGGTGGTTGGGACTGGGAGGCCCGTCTTTGGCCTGTGGCGGAGAAGGTCTGGGATTTAGGCCCCAAACTGGTGACTTGCGACTAGAGTCGGATTTGGGAAGACTTAGCATTGGGTAGGCTTCTCGAGGAAGGGAACCCTTGGACGAGAGGCTTTTGCAGTTATGAGTCGTGTGACTCCGGTGACTCAGGAGGATCTTGCTGAGGTGCCCCTGGGAGGCGGCCTCGACCCCTCCAGCAAGGGTAGCGTTTGTTAGGGACTATTGTGCTACCCTTGTTTTGGTGACGAGCCAACAAAGGGACTTTCTGTGAGTATTTACGGAGGATTGGGGCAGAGCTTCCGGAGTCCGCCACCCGCTTTTCGCGTGGGTTTTTTTGTTGTTCGTTTTGTAAAATCGGTGATTTAGTCAAGGTTTATTGCAGTCGACCCTCATTTCAACACCACCCCCCTCCTCATTTTTTGGCGGGGGCGGAGGAAAGAACTAGCTTCCGCGTCTCACCATTGGCGCCTTAATCCTCTAGAAACGTTCTCTTTCAGGGTGGGGTCCTAGCGTTGTTGGACGGAGTGGGGGAGAGAAACGGCCCTTTTATTTTCTGAATAAAACGTGACGTTTTATAGAAGCATTGTCTTTACATAAACAGATTTTATTTGCTGCCTTATACTTTAAAATGATTTGTTAGAGAGCTGGATTTATCTAGAATGGAAAAAGTCACCAAATTTCTAGTGTGCTTCAGGAAATTGTGACCAGTGAGAGAATTCCCAGTTTTGTTAATTTAACTGAACTGTGAGTGTAAGTATATTCCTTGGCAACCGATTTATACGAACTGCAAACAACTTGAAGAATTACGAAATTGTGTATTCACTTCGAACTTATTCTTAGCTTCTCAGTAATAGCAATATTAGATTTTAAATATTAAATTCCTAACTCGAATGTTCTTATTGAATTTTGAAATTTTTTTGACTTAAAACCTTGAGTTTTTTTTAAATAAACAATATTGAGTCTTTGCAGTCCGTGGTTTATTTGTAAATATTGAAATATTTAACAATAGGAAAGTTAATTTCAAGTAAGTTTCTGTTAAACACGGGAATTGAACCAAGCTATGTAAGTCCGTGGGGTATTTGTAAATATTGAAATATTTAATAATAGGAAAGTTAATTTCAAGTAAGTTTCTGTTAAACACGGGAATTGGACCAAGTTAAGTAGTCTGTTTCGAGATATGTTGAGGGATGGTGAAGAGAGTTTATAGGCTTCTGGGAAATCAGGTATAATCCTATTATAGGGCAACCCAGACATCCTTTTCCCCCTAACAATCCTTGATTATAGGTTTAATAAATACCAAAACCAAATTTTCTCTAAAGTGCCTTCTTGGTTTTAACTGTTACTTTATTTTAGCGTTAACCCTGTTTTCTCATCTTTTAACAGATTTTTAAAATAGGCATTGCCACCATTGTGCTATTTTTGTACCTTAACAATACTGATCAGGTATTGTAATAGAGATTTTGATGATGAGAAGATCCTTATACAGCACCAAAAAGCAAAGCATTTTAAATGCCATATATGTCATAAGAAATTGTACACAGGTCCTGGCTTGGCTATTCACTGCATGCAGGTAATGGTTTTTCTTTTCTTGAGTTTAGCACTTCTGTAATTTGGAAAGAATGTGAAAAACTTTATTACACAAGGTTAGGTAAGGTGACCACACAGCTTAAGAAATAACAAACCTGTTCTTTAGCCCTCAAGAAAAACCTCTGTTCATGTTTAAAGAAAACTTGTATTGCCATTTACCTTTATATTATTGATAGCATCTTTGATCCTAGGTTAGATTAGTGAATAGTTGAAATCACAAAGTATCTCAGTATTTGGGTTAGAGAAGAAGGATCAGCGATATAAATTTTGTGACACCATTTCTAACTCTTAAGAATCAATGTATAATTAGCTGCCATTACTCATTGCTGTTGAGGGATTTGTTGTATCTGTAGCCTGGAGCTAGACTTATTTTAAGTTATTCCAAGGACCTCTTTTGGAATGGTATCTTTTCATATCATTCAGTGATTTCTAGAGTACATTCTAAGATTTATTATGCATACAAGAACTGGGGTACAGGCCCGAGGTGTGGGGGGAAGGTGAGAGGATTCACCAGAGACAGAGTGGGGAACAGAACAGGCAGACTGACTGAAACACACTGCTGAGGGGAGCAGCAGCAAGTCAGGAAGAGAGGTCTTCTGCACCATGTGGGTAGCTCCATGGGCAGGGATCAGACTTGTGCTGCGGTGGCTGGGCATAGTTTTACAGGTTGCATCTTTTTTTTTTTTTTTTTTTTTATTTTTTTATTTTTTTTATATAGAGGCATGCTTTATTTATTTGTTTGCTGGTTTCTTTGTTTGTTTTGTTTATACATGCACTGGGTACAGTCAGAAGCGCGGGAGGGCGAGAGAATTCACCAGAGCCAGAGCGGGGAGCAGAGCAGGCAGAAGGACCGAAGTACACTGCTGAGGGGAGCAGCGGGCGGCAGGAGAGGTCTGCGCGCCATGTGGGACCCTCCTCCGGTGGCCGGGGAGCAGCCGGGGATCAAACCGGCGCCGCAGAGGCCGCGCGCAGCTTCGCAACCCAGCGCTCAACCGCTGCGCCACCGGGGAGGCCCTACAGGTTGCATCTTAACCCCTTGTGCCACCAGGGAGGCCCAACATATTTTACCCATCCTAGAGCTGCCTACATTTTTGCTTAATTGGACCCTAGAGAGAAGAGATGAGCAGATCCCTATTTGTTGGAAACTACTGTTGACAGGAGGCAGGGAGGCAAATTAAAAAAACACTTTGATCCCTCAAATTTAAAAATAAGATTAGGGGCCTCCCCGGTGGCGCAGCGGTTGAGCGCTGGGTTGCGAAGCTGCCCGCGGCCTCTGCGGCACCAGCTCGATCCCCGGCTGCTTCCCGGCCACCGGAGGAGGGTCCCACATGGCGCGCAGACCTCTCCTGCCGCCCGCTGCTCCCCTCAGCAGTGTACTTCGTCATTCTGCCTGCTCTGCTCCCCGCTCTGGCTCTGGTGAATTCTCTCACCCTCCCGTGCTTGTACCCAGTGCATGTATAAAGAAAACAAGCAAACAAACAAATAAATAAATAAAACATGCCTCTATTTAAAAAAAAAAAAAAGTTTAAAAAAAAAATAAAAATAAGATTATAGGTTCTTTTAACTGTAACAGCAGTTTAATATCCATCAGAAATACTTAAGCGCCTCCGTTCTATATGCTGCACCCACAGCTTACTGCTATGGCAGTCACTATATGTTACATGTGGCTCTGTGAAAGAAAATTAATTAAAAACATTCAATTCGTCAGTCAAATTATTTCCACATTTCCGGTCAAAAACTGGCAGATAACTACTGTTTTGGTTAGTACAGATACAAAACATTGTTTATCACAGAAAGTCTGTGAGACAGCGCTGTGCTAAACACTTGGGTATACAGCTGTGAAGAAAACAAAATCACTATTTAGATCTGTACTGTGGAGGAAATACTTGATTTGCTTAAGGTGTTACCAGAGCTAACACTGGGTAAAGAGCATAGGGAGGACTTGAATGAAAAAGTGACATCTGACCAAAAATCTGCAAGGCTGCGAAGGAGAACTTCAAGGAAACAGCAGTTGAAATGCCTATCAGAAGAACTTTATTTTTTTTTAAAGATTTATTTATACAAGCACTGGGTACAGTCAGAAGCGCAGGAGGGTGAGAGAATTCACCAGAGCCAGAGCAGGGAACAGAACAGGCAGACTGGTGAAATACACTGCTGAGGGGAGCAGCAGGCTCCGCAGGAGAGGTTTTGCGAGCCATGTGGGACCCTCACTGGTGGCCAGGGATGGAACTGGCGGAAGCTGCGGGCAGCTTTGCAGCCCAGGGCTCAACTGCTGCGCCAGCAGGGGAGGTCCTCAGAAGAACTTTATATTAAAGGAAAGGGGAAGGGCAGTATTGTGCTCCTTTTATATAGGAGGACTTCAGTGTCTTGCGGGCCATTTTCTTTCATTCTGAATGAAATGGGAAGTTTGAGTAGAGCAGGAGGTTATGATGACAGACCAGAATTTGCTGATGGATTAAATGTGGGGCATGAGAGAAAGTGAGGTGTTACGGTTGGGTTTTAACTTTGAGAGGGGATATATTTTTGAGAAGGCCTTGCTGACTATCCGGGTGGAGATAGGTCAGTGAGATCTACAGTTTGGAGTTCAGAGATAATTGGAGCTAGAGATTTGGCAGGATTCATGTAAGGATTGCTATTTTAAGCCATGATACTAGATGTCCTTTCCTCCTAGAGTAGAATATAGATAGAAAAGAGGTTCAAGGGCTCAGCATTTACAGGTCAGAAGTTTAAAGAAAAACCACATAGGGAAATACAAGGGGGGGGGAATTAAGAGAGTATAGTGCCCTGGAAGGCTCATATGAAATGTTGACAGAATTGAGTTATTTAACTGAGTCTAGTCCTGGTGGTAGGTCAAAGAAGAATAGAACTTAGATTGACATTGGTATTAATCAGAGTGGAGGTTGTTGGTCACTTGCTAAGAGTGATTTCCTTGAATGATGAGGATGAAAGCCTGATTGGAATGCTTTGAAGAGAAAGTGAAAAAGTGGAGGCACTCATTCAAGGAGTTGTAATAGATAATCTTGAAATGAAGTGGAAGGAGATTAGTTGAGAAACTATTAATAACATTTTTAATTGGCTAAGTGCTTCTATTTATATAGCCCTACTCTTATTTTACAGTGACCAGTGAGATAGGCATGGCAGCTATATCACACACATTCCAGTTTTATGGATAATAAACCCTAGGGCATAAGTAACTTCAGACAGTTACATCAATATTCCTATCTTCTCAACCAATACCCTAGAAACAGCTAGGCAGGGTTTTAAGAAATCTAATTACTGGGCCTCCTTGATGGAGCAAGGGGTTAAGATGCAACCTATGAAGCTATCCCTTAGCCACTGCAGGACGCATTTGATCCCTGGCGAGGGAGCTGCCCACATAGCACAGCAGACCTCTCCTGACTTGCCTACTGCTCCCCTCAGCAGTGTTATTTCAGTCAGTCTGCCTGTTCTGCTCCCCGCTGTTTCTGGTGAATCCTCTCACCCCCTACACCTCTGGCCTTACCCCAGCTCTTGTATGCATAAATGGAATAAATATTTTTTTTTTAGAAAAGCAATCCTATTACTGTAATGTTTGGAGATTTTTAGGTGAAGTATGTTTTTTTCGCTTGTAAGCTTAATTTTGTCCCTGTCACATAGACCTGTAGTGAAGACTAGAGTGTATAAATGCATTAAAAAAACCAACTTAGGATATGAGTTACTTCGTCTGCATTTTAATCAAGAATAGCGGCTGTTAAAAACTTCAGCCTCCCAGCTGGTGCAGGGGTTAAACTCAGCTCTGTCACCAGCCACTGCAGCCTGAGTTCATCCCCAACCAGGGAGCTAACCCACATGGTGCAGCAGACCTCTTATTTCTCACCTGCTGCTCCCCTCAGCAGTATATTTCAGTAAATTGCCTGTTCTGCTCCCCACTCTGTCAGTGGTGAATCCTTTCTTGTGTGCATAAACAAATTCTTGTGTGCATAAACAAATAAATGAAATAAAACTTATTTAGAAAGTTAAAGAAACATTCAGTCACTTGTTTAGTGGCTTTATTAATGGATTGTTTAATCATAACAAGGACCAGCTTTTAAGTATTTGCATTTATGCATACCAGAGATGGGGTGGGTGGGAGGATTCACCAGAGACAGTGGAGAGCAAAACAGGCAGATCTGCTGAAATACACTGCTAAGGGGAGCAGTGGTCAAGACAGGAGAGGTCTGCTGCATCATGTGATTTAGCTCCTTGGCCCGGGATCGAACTCATGCTACACTGGCTGGTGATAGCTTGATACCTGTGAGACTTGAACCCCTGTACCACCAGGGAGGCCCCCAACTTTCAGTGATTAATCAGATGTAAAGGTTGTGTGAGTTGATTTGTAGGGCAATATTCTGAAATGCATCTTTTAAGAAAAAAACAACTTTTTCTATTCAGTGTCTTGAGAAGAAAAAATACTACTATCTTGGATAACTAGATCAAAGTCATTAGTTTAAATTAGTGGTTTTCTGGGCCTCCCTTGTGGTGCAGAAGTTAAATTCTCTGCGCTATCAAGCTGTATCGCCAGCCACTGTGGCATGGCCAGGGAGCTAACCCACATAACACAGCAGACCTGTCCTGTCTTGCCTGCTGCTCCCCTCAGCAGTGTATTTCAGTAGATCTGCCTGTTCTGCTCCCCACTCTGTCTCTGGTGAATCCGTTCACCCCTGCATCTCTTGCCTATACCCCAGTACTTGTATACATAAATAAATTAAAATAAAATCTTTTACAAACATAAATTAGTGGATATCAAACTTAAGCATGCATTGGAATTGTCTGGAAGATTTATTAAAATTGATGGCCCAAATCAAGAGTTTCTGACTTTGCAGGATTCAGTATAAGCAAAATAATTTTAAGATTTTTTTTTTAAGATTTTTATTTATTTACACAAAAACCGGGTACAGGCCAGATTCGTGGGAGGGTTAGAGGATTCACCAGAGACAAGAGTGGGGAACAGAACAGGCAGACTGACTGAAATACACTGCTGAGAGGAGCAGCGGGCGAGACAGTAGAGGTCTGCCATGCCTTATGGACCCTCGCCAGCCGGCTGGGATAAAACTGGTACTGCAGAGGGCTGGGGACAGCTTCACAGTGCTGTGTTCAACCGTCTGCGCCACCAGGGGAGGCCCAATTTTAAGATTCTTTAGCCTAAGTTAATGCCTTCACAGTTAACAACCAAGACTGATGAGGGTTTTACATGCTGGCAGAAGTTTCCACATTTGGGTGTTATAAAAATTTGATCTGATAAACACTATGTACTCCTACATTGTCAGTGTTCACAATATAAATAAAACCTCTTTATTTGTGACCTACCATATAAATTCAGAGGTAGGACAGTGACGAGATCACAACTGTGGCAGTGTTAAAGTGCCAGAAATAATGTTATGGATGATGGTAATTGTAAATGTAGCTGTGTAACTACTGGTTTGCTTAAAGATCATTCTTGGTATATTCTAAATTTTTTCCAAAGATTTTATTATTGCATAGAAGAACTGGGGTACAGGCCAGAGGTGTGGGGGTTAAAAGGATTCACCAAAGACGGTAAGGAGCAGAACAGGCATATGCACTGAAATACACTGCTGAGGGGAGCAGTGGCTGAAAAATGAGAGGTCAGCTGTGCCATATGTGGTTAGCTCCCTGGCTGGGTATTGAATTCAGGCCATAGAGGTGATAACTCTGAGACTTGACCCATAGGTCACCAGGGAGGCCTTGGAATAGTCTAATTTCTAATTCTAATATTCAAGACTTGTGTAAGCTTTACTTTTTTATTCAAAACTGAACCTTTCTGATTTGTGTAGGACTAATTCATTGCTATTATTCAAGCAAGATGACATGGTAAATTCAAAATAATGTTAGTTTGGCATTATTTCACATCCTTTTATATGCGCTACTACTAAAAATAACCCTAGAAGTTAGGTACTGTATGGGTGGAATAAAATGTGAGTGAGAGACCAAATGCTTTGCCCAATCTCAAAGAAGTAAGCAGCAAAACTGAAAATTGAATCCAGGTAGCCTTACTGTAGAACCAGTTATTAACCATTATTCTATAAGTGGTCTCTGAGGAATTTGTGAATAACTTTTGTCTAATGAGAGGTTTTCTGTTTTTTAATGTTAGGTACATAAAGAGACAATAGATGCTGTACCAAATGCAATACCTGGGAGAACAGACATTGAGTTGGAAATATATGGTATGGAGGGTATTCCAGAAAAAGACATGGATGAAAGAAGACGACTTCTTGAACAGAAAACCCAAGGTAAATATTGAACTTTTTAATTTTTTAAAGATTTATTTATTTATTTATTTATTTATTTATACAAGCACTGGGTACAGTCAGAAGCGCGGGAGGGTGAGGGAATTCACCAGAGCCAGAGCGGGGAGCAGAGCAGGCAGAAGGACCGAAGTACACTGCTGAGGGGAGCAGCGGGCGGCAGGAGAGGTCTGCGCGCCATGTGGGACCCTCCTCCGGTGGCCGGGGAGCAGCCGGGTATCGAACCGGCGTCGCAGAGGCTACGGGCAGCTTCGCAACCCAGCGCTCAACCGCTGCGCCACCAGGGGAAGCCCAATATTGAACTTTTTAAATACAGCCTCACTAGTAAGCTTGTTAGTACTACCAATAAAATTAATGGTAGATACTACATTTATTCATATTCCAATTTTGAGATTTACTTGTCTTCTGTTTGAAGTTATAAGTTTTCTTTGTATATCTGTGATAGCATTTGGATCATTCAAAAACATTTTATCTTTTTAACTCATAATGAATCCAAGAGGAATTAACAAAGTTTTGAGGTTTTAAAAGTGAAGGTAGCTTGCTTTGACTTATGTAACCACTAGTTGTAAGAAAAATTTACTATTTGATGTGGAAAATTTTTTTGAAGATTGATTTATTTATGCATGCAAGAACTGGGGTACAGGCTAGAGGTGCAGGGGTTGAGAGGATTCACCAGAGACAGAGTGGGGAGCAGAACAGGCAGGCAGACTGAAATACACTGCTAAGGGAAGCAGCGGACAAGACAGGAGAGGTTTGCTGCTCAGTGTGGGTAGCTCCCTAGCTGGCCTGGAATTGCTGCAGAGGCTTTGGATAGCTTCACAGTGCTGTGCTTAACCCCTTAACACCACCCGGGAGGCCCTGATGTGGAATTTGAAGTGATAAACTACTCATACGATAGAAACTGCTAACTCACCTGTAAACTTTTCTTTCTTAAAAGGCATAACAGGTCAAAGCTCTTTGTCATAGTTTTCCATTTGGTGTAATAGGAAGATGTAGGGTAATTACTTTTGTCTGTCTTAGAAGAGAGAAGAAGGAATATTAACTTTTTTACTTACTATAGATTAAAAACATGTGAAATGTAAAACAAAATGTATTGAAGTAACTAAAAAATCATTGCTGTCCTAAACTTGCTTAGGTTTTTCGTTTTTTACTCTGGGGAAAATTAATTAGAACTTTTTTAGCAGAGAGTCAAAAAAAGAAGCAACAAGATGATTCTGATGACTATGATGATGATGACTCTGCAGCTTCAACTTCATTTCAACCACAACCTGTTCAACCTCAACAAGGTTACATCCCACCGATGGCACAGCCAGGACTGCCACCAGTTCCTGGAGCACCAGGAATGCCTCCAGGTAACAATAAGATTTCTTAACTTGAATGTTCTTAGAATATTATTCATTGGGGGCATGGAGGGGGATATGCAGTATTAAAATTCCTTCTCCTAACCCTTTAATACTTGTGATTTTTTTTTTTTAATTCTTGTTTCAGGCATACCCCCATTAATGCCAGGTGTTCCTCCTTTGATGCCAGGAATGCCACCAGTAATGCCAGGCATGCCACCGGGGTAAGAAAACTTTTTAATTGATTTGTGGGCATATGCCTAGTAATGATCTTTTTCACCTTGGATATTAAATGAATTGCTTGGTACCTTTTTTTTTTTTTTTTTTTTTGCTTCTGAACAGTATGGGCTCTGTAAATATTAACTTTTCTAATAAAGGGGTCTACCAATAAGTTGTAAAGAATAAATTGGCCTCTGAAGAGAATTGACTTTTGGGTTTTAGAATATATGTAGGCATCCATCTACTTCAGTTGCATCTGATTAATTAAAGTACTTGGTTAGAGATTTGAGTTTCTGAGATTCAGAACTGTCCGTGACACTTTGTAGTTGTGACAAGAAGGAAACGCTGTAAAATGATTTGTCATCGAGAACTAAAATGAGGATGAGGTGCTCATGCCCATCACTTTTACTTAAATATTGTTGGATGTCAGAGGTATACAATACACTTTCCCACTGTATTTTGAAAATCACAGTTAGATTTTGATTTTGTCATACATTTTCACAGATTGCATCATCAGAGAAAATACACCCAGTCATTTTGCGGTGAAAACATGTAAGCATCTCATTCATAATGTAATTCAGGAGGTATAATCATAATGTCATTTTTTTGTGTGTGTTTAAATGGTATCTATTCAGTTGACTTCCGAAATTTTCTGACCTTTTCCACTAAAACTTTAAATGTGCAAGCTGATGACATAGGTCTTTTAATGGAGGGAAATAAAAACATCTGTGAGAAAATAGTAGAGACCTTTTTAAAGGTGCAGTTTTTTCCCTAAATTGCTAAAAGTAATGGGACTTAGTAAAAATGGTTGGTATTTAAGAAAAATACATTTCTTTTGCAAAATTATATGCTTTAATATTGCAGAAGGTAATTGAATTTTCTTTTAAAATATATATTAGAAATTTGATAGAAGTTACATAAATCAAGTGAATTGGACACAGATATTTGAAGGTGAGCTATTTTAGGGGAAATAAAATAATTACGGGTTATGTTTTTAAGTAATGGTTTAGTGTTAGGTAGCTGTTCTGAATAAAAGGTGATTTGGGTTTACTTTGGAATTAAGTATTGAGTTATTTTTCTTTAATTTTGGTGATAATTTTAATTTTTTAAAAAAACCTTCACAGTATATTTTCCCTTTGAAAAATTTGACAACTCTAAAATTTAAGTTGTGTGGATATTTTCCAAGTGAGAGAGAGTGGTTTGGCATTCTAATTACTGTATACATATTTTAGATGTAGTCTCTTATCTAAAGGAACATACAAGAATGCTCTCATTGATTTTAAATGTATTAAAATGTTTTCTCAATAAAAACTGGACCCTTTTACTGGTAAACCCAAGAGTTTGCTGGTTTTCAGAGGTGTTTTGATAGGATTATTCTAGTGTATTGTGTGTGCTTTTAGGTTGGTTGCTTTTCAATATTAGGGGTCTAGTTCAAGTCTTATTTATTGTTTCAGGCTTTAGCCGAAATATTTTCTAATAAGTCGTTAATTGCAGTTGTTTCTTGACATTTGCTTTCTAATAGAATGATGCCAATGGGTGGAATGATGCCACCTGGACCAGGAATACCACCTCTGATGCCTGGTATGCCACCAGGTATGAAATTTTAGGCAATTTCTTTTTTAATATGACTGAAATACTTTATTCTTGAGTATTTTAGTTAAGATATTGATTAGTGGGCATTAGTGCAGTGTAATTCCAAAGGTTGGTGACATTTTAAAATAAAGTTAGAAGTGCTATGATTTACCTTGTATTTTGAAATACAGTATAAACAATAGACATAAAAACAGCCGGAGTGATTAACAGACTTTTGTAGAAAGTAAAAAGAGAAATCCAATAAACTGTATGCAGCACCTGCATTATCATCAGCAGAAGGTAAAGTTGTAAATTCACTGGTTTGGTGATACCAAGAACCCATAACTTTTTTTTTTTTTTTTTTTTTTTAATAGAGGCATGCTTTATTTATTTGTTTGCTGGTTTCTTTGTTTGTTTTGTTTATACATGCACTGGGTACAGTCAGAAGCGCGGGAGGGTGAGAGAATTCACCAGAGCCAGAGCGGGGAGCAGAGCAGGCAGAAGGACCGAAGTACACTGCTGAGGGGAGCAGCGGGCGGCAGGAGAGGTCTGCGCGCCATGTGGGACCCTCCTCCGGTGGCCGGGGAGCAGCCGGGGATCAAACCGGCGCCGCAGAGGCCGCGCGCAGCTTCGCAACCCAGCGCTCAACCGCTGCGCCACCGGGGAGGCCCCAAGAACCCATAACTTTTAAATTTGCTTCATATCTAACCTTAGCTTTTTTTCCCTCAGATAGGTCATGCAGTAGTTTTCAAGGTTTCACTCAGGCAGGAAAGCGTGTCAACAGCAGTGTATTCTGTTCTTTTCCCTGTAGCTCCTTAGCCCCTTACAAATTATTTTTCAGTAGTAGGTCTAATGGACCATTTAACTATAAGGGAATTTGGGAAATGGAAGTGTCTTGACTTTACAGACTATGGGGAAAGAGATGTAATGGTTAGTCTAGAGTGTCTACTACGGAGGCCTTTATGAGTCTCTTGGTGGCTTTTTTTATTTTTTTTTTTAATCCTAGCAAGATTGGTTTGCAGTCTATGGTAGATTTTTTTTTTAAAAAAAACATCTATTTATTTATACAAGCATTGGGTACAGTCAGAAGCATGGGAGGGTGAGAGAATTCATCAGAGCCAGAGCGGGGAGCAGAACAGGCAGAAGGACCAAAGTACACTATTGAGAGGAGCAGCGGGCGCGGCAGGAGAGGTCTGTGCACCATGTGGCACCCTCGCCAGCGGCTGGGGATAGAACTGGCACAGCAGAGGCTGTGGGCAGCCCAACGCTCAACCGCTGCGCCACCAGGGGAGGCCCCAGTCCATGGTAGATTTAGAGAAGTAAATATTACATAATGTTTAGTGCAAAAGGATACAGGAAAAATCAAGCAGCAGTAAGATTTGAATAGTTGAAGTTAAGCTGAGTTAATTTAAAGACTCCTTCTAGTGATGCATTTTACAAAAAATGTATTTGAAGTAGTTTAGTAGAGGGCCTCCCTGGTGGGTTAAGCACAGTACCTTGACGCTGTCCTGCAGCCTCTGCAGCACGAGTTTGATCCCCAGCCGGCCAGGGAGTTACCCACACGGCACAGCAGACTTCCCGTCTCAACTAGTGCTCCTCTCAGCAGTGTATTTCCATCAGTCTTCCTGTTTGCTCCCCACTCTGTCTTCTGGTGAATCCTCTCACCCACACACCTCTGGCCTGTACCCCCGTTCTTTTTCTGTTTGTTTTTTTAAATACAAGAACGGGGATACAGGCCAGAAGTGCAGTAGGGTGAAAGGATGCAACAGAGACAGAGCGGGGAGCAGAACAGGAGAGGTCTGCTGCGCCATGTGCGTGGCTCCCCCCTGGCTGGCGGGAATCAAACCCACGCTGCAGAGGCTATGAACAGCTTCTCAGTGCTACGCTTGACCTCCACCACCAGGGAGGCCCTGTATCCCAGTACTTGTATGTATAAATAAATGAATCTTTAAAAATAAATAAAATCTCAGGGTTAGAATAACAGAGTGAGGCTTAAAAAAAAATAAAGTTGTAGAATTAGTCTTATGGAAACATTTTTGTGGGTATGACAACTAATTTGCATTACAGCTCAGAGAACATCTGTCATATTATTGAAATCTCAATTAGCTAGATTAGTAATAACAACTAAATTGCTGCTTTGTATATATGTACACAGTCTCTAGTAGTATCTTTCACTTCCCCAGATTCTGTGAATAGGTGTAAGGAATGGCAAGTTTGAGGCAAGAGTGTTTCCAAGAGTCAGATACCTATATTTCATAGACTTCATGGAGCTTTAGTAGTTAATTGTCAGTAACTTTATAGTATTGAAGCAGTTTTTTTTTTTTTAACATTTTATTTAAATATGCATAGAACTGGGGTGAAGGCCAGAGGCGCAGGGGGTGAGAGGATTCACCAGAGAAAGAGTAGGCAGCAGACTAGGCAGATGTACTGAAATACACTGCTGTGGGGAAGCAGTGGGTGATATAGGAGAGGTCTGCTGCACCATGTGGGTTAGCTCCCTGGCCGGAGATCAAACTAATGCTGCAGTGGCTGACGATATAGCTTGCTAACGCTGAGACTTTAACCTCTGCACCCACCTGGGAGACCCTTATTGAAGCAGTTTTGATATATTTGAATAGCAGTCTTGGGTAATAATCTTTTTTCTGTACTAAATAATTCAACAGTTGGGTACCTCCTCCCCCCAAACATTTTTTCTCTACAGGTATGCCCCCTCCTGTTCCACGTCCTGGAATTCCTCCAATGACTCAAGCACAGGCTGTGTCAGCGCCAGGTATACTTAATAGACCACCTGCACCAACAGCAGCAGTTCCTGCTCCACAGCCTCCAGTTACTAAACCTCTTTTCCCCAGTGCAGGACAGGTAAGGTGAAATTTCCGAGGAGTGCACTTCTGTTTGAAGGTATCATGCAGTTTTGACAGAAATCTTTGAAATCGTCACTGTCTTAATGTATAAACTATTTAGTATACTTACAAGTGGCCTATTTCATGTTTTCATGCATTAATTTTCTCACTGGAGCCAGAGAGAATGTAGTAAATTAATTTTTTCATAGCTGTAAACTCTGCTTATTCTTTGCTTTAGTTAAAAATGAAAATTTAATTTCTGGGGTCTTAATTATATGAAAAAAAGTCCTCCTTTACATGAAACCACAGTAAAAGAAAAAAGTCTTGCCAGGTCATTTAATGGCAGTTAACCTGGTCATACTTCTATTTCCAACTGTTTTTTTCTTCCAGAATTCACAAGTGAAAGGTGCTTCTTTTAAATGTATTATGTATACAGTAATTTGTTTTGATTTTTAAGTATTGCCTGTAAGTGCTCTAAGCACATTAACTTATGTTTGTGTGGTTATTTATTAAGAGGGAATAAAATCTCATTGGTAGAGAATTGAAGCGTCAAAATAATGCTTCCATATTCTCTGTTTAAGGTATCATTTGTGAAATACAGTACAGAAACACATTAGTTTTAGTTAACTAGATTATTGGTGTAGAATTAAAAAGTTTTGAGGCTCATACTGTCACTTGTTTATTGTAAATGCATTAGCTGCGTGCCTTTATAGAGATTTGATTGCATTATAATTTTGCATTTACAAAACATGCAATCTACTAAAAAAGTCTACCACCTGGCTTATTTTTACCCATTTGTTTGGAGACTTTTCATTGTTTCCTTTCTTTTATGCTACAGATGGGGACACCTGTAACAAGCTCAAGTACAGCTTCATCCAATTCAGAAAGTCTGTCTGCATCTTCTAAAGCTCTGTTTCCTAGCACAGCACAAGTACGCAGGAAGTTGCAGTATAAATTGTTAAAATGGCTTTATAACTTAACCCTTTGGACCCTACTTTAAACTAAATCTTTCCCTAAAATATGTTTAACTTATTACAAGTAAAACTAACGATAAATAAATCAATGTCATTTGAAAATTTGAACTGATATGAATAGAAAAAGAATATACCCCAAACACCTATGGTTCTAAAGGGTTAAAAAAGCATGTAAGCAGTAAAAGCATTATAGTGGCCAATGGTTAGCCTGATGCATGATTAAGCTATTATGATTTATGCTCTTTAATGCATCATGTATACAGTAAGGAAATTTAGTATTTTGCATTTCGTTCTTAAGTTGGCCTAGTCTACATGTTTTAGATAATTGGTATTATGAAAAGTAACACATTTATTGCTGATAACTTTTTACTTAAAAGATCCTACTAAACCCTTTGTCCATGACAGTCACCTAGCCATTTCTATTTGGGAGGGCATTGTATTAGTATTACTATACAAAGAACATTTCTCTGGAGGGCATATTCTTTAATCTGTCATCAATACTAATTTTTCATTCTATGCTAAGTAACTGAAATTTATCCAAATGTTTGTATTCTGTAATTCTTTTTTTTAGCTGCTTGGTAGATTAATCTAACTTAGAGTAGTAAAAAATATAATTTAAGCTGTTCCACTCTATACTACTTAATTTCATCAATCTGAAATAAATACAAAGCTTTATAATTTTGGTGAGGTAATAGATGACATTGGAGAAGTTCCTATGCAGTCTTTCTTGTTTCCACGGCTGTGTTTTGGGTGTGACTTTGACCCAGCATTTTTGACGTTCTCTTAGTCTTTTCTGGAATTCTGTGGAGCATTTCTCATGTTAGGTTTGTTACAATTTCATTTAAATTTTAGTCGTTTATAAATATATGTATGTCTTTTTAAGTTAAATTGGTAGATACGCTTGATAATTTTAGGTTTTAAAGTTTTGTTGATAAAAGATTGTGTTTTACAGGCTCAGGCAGCTGTCCAAGGACCTGTTGGTACAGATTTCAAGCCCTTGAATAGTACCCCTGCAACAACTACAGAACCCCCAAAGCCTACATTCCCTGCTTATACACAGTCTACGGCTTCTACCACTAGTACAACAAATAGCACTGCAGCTAAACCAGCAGCTTCAATAACAAGTAAGCCTGCTACACTTACAACAACCAGTGCAACCAGTAAGTTGATCCATCCAGATGAGGATATATCACTGGTAAGTTGTTCGTAATATTTCACTGTTGAGTTTGATTTGAATAGCATTGTAGCAACTAATTTGGATATTGTTGATTTTGTGTAACATCTTAGGCTCTCATTTAATACTCAGTGATTTTTACCATTCTTATTTTAAAACCACAAAATACAGTGAGCATTGCATTTTTGACCTGAGATATAAGACATTTCCTTCTCTCGACTCCACTGTTTCTTTAAGTTGGGTTGTTAATCATTTCGTTAGAAATAGGTTTGCATAAATTAACTGGAACAGTTAAATGTGGGGTAGAATCTGTAAATCCCCCCTGAAACATTCCTTGTTTACTTGACAGTTTTTCTTTTTTTTTTTTAAAAAAAAATATTTATTTATACAAGCACTGGGTACAGTCAGAAGTGCGGGAGGGTGAGAGAATTCACCAGAGCGGAGAGCAGAACAGGCAGACTGACAAGTACACTGGTGAGGGGAGCGGCAGGTGGCAGGAGAGGTCTGCGCGCCATGTGGGACCCTCGCCCAGTGGCCAGAGATAGAACTGGTGCTGCAGAGGCTGTGGGTAGCTTCGCAACCCACTGCACCACTGGGGAGGCCCACTAGACAGTTTCTTGCTGAAGTAACTGATAATTCCTAGAGAGTTGTTTGCTGTGCGTTAAATATTAATAAAGTAGGTGAGTTTTTCTTGCGGCATTGAGATTGTAAGATTGGACTGACTTGTGACACTTAAGTGGCAGATAAAAGAGTTGGCGACTTAAAATTTAAGATGTTGCCTTTATGCCTAATGAATCCGTGTTTAGTTGTTTAATATTGTACTTGCTTTTATTTTAGGAAGAGAGAAGGGCACAGTTACCTAAATATCAACGTAATCTTCCTCGACCAGGACAGCCTCCAATTGGTAATCCACCAGTTGGACCAATTGGAGGTATGATGCCACCACAGCCAGGCATCCCACAGCAACAAGGAATGAGACCCCCAATGCCGCCTCATGGTATTCCTCTTTACGTTTATTGTATTTAGTGAATTTTCAAATATACAGATAATTATTTTATCTGCAAAATATATTGTATTTAAGAGTACAGTGCATAGACTAACAATCTATTTTTTTGTGTGTGTGTGTTTTGAATGTGTTTTTTAGGTCAATATGGTGGTCATCATCAAGGCATGCCAGGTTATCTTCCTGGTGCCATGCCTCCATATGGGCAGGGACCGCCAATGGTACCCCCTTACCAAGGTGGGCCTCCTCGACCTCCGATGGGAATGAGACCTCCTGTAATGTCGCAAGGTGGCCGTTACTGATCTTACTTCATCCAATCTAATAGGTTTGGAGATTAAACCTTTTCTCAACTTGTGCTGTTTATATAGCCAAGCTTCCGTCAATAAGGCTTCATTGTGACTTTAACAAACATTATCTTCCCACATACCAGGAACTATTGGACATTTATTTTACATGGGAAAAATTATTTGGAATAATAAAGCAGGAACTTTTCCTGAAGTTGCAATTTATACTGTATGGCTTCTTTTTCATGTTTCATCTAGGTTTTTAGAAGTGAAGTATAGTAAATTTGGTTCGTTATATTGTGAAGGCGCTGGAAATACATGAACATACCACCTTAATAAAGGCAAGTTCTGTAAGCTTACATTGCTTTTTGTAAAGTTATGCCTTCACAGCATTTCAGATGCTGTTGGACTTCATGTCCCCAACCTAGCTTGGTGAGGGCTGTAACTGTTTCCAAGTACCTGTACATTGGAAGTCTGAATGTGTAACAATATTTAATGTATTTAGAGTTCCTCATGTTGCAGGGTTTAAGAAATCTGACCCACCAAGGTTATGTGACTTTTCTGTACTGTTAAACTTCATTGTAATAAAATGAGAGAAAAGTTTATGCCTTTTTATTCATAACCCAGCTGTGGACCACTGCCTGAAAGGTTTGTACAGATGCATGCCACAGTAGATGTCCACAAATAAAAATTCAGTTATCAATGCAGTTTTGATATATCTTTGAATTTTGTGTTTGAATTGTAGGTTGTTTCTTAGCTGCATGTTTTAAACAGAACAGTGTGTAGAGAATTGTATGTTAGTACTTCAGTTGACAGAAAAACTTAAGATACACGGGTCACCACATAATGGGTATGAAATCTTTATATGTGTCACGTTTCCACCTTCCTTGGTGTAAATACATGTTAGATGTTATAGACCATTTAAAATGTAAACCATAATATTCCCTCCTTCCTGCTGCTGTTTATGTTTAGAGCCTAGTGCCAGACCCATTTATTTCCTTCTGATTATTTTCGAAACTGCAGTACTGCTTGGACCTCAGAAGCTTTTCAGGTGCAAACTTCTAGAAGCTTAGGTGCATGCAGTAATAGTTTTTTTGCTGTTCATGGGAAAGTATGATGCCTAGAATGTGAATGAGCCTCTGTTAGGATGCTTAACAGATGCATTTGCAATTTTCAGTTTTAGGATTTTCTTGGAAGATAACATATTTGATCAGATGGCTAACTTCTGTTACGAAGCCTCAATAGCCTTACAGATAAACCTTTTCATTCTTGGAAATTTGTTACTGTGTTCCTATGGAGAACCTCTCTGAAGAAGTAACTGCTATTCACTATCTTGTATTTCAAATATAATAGTTCTCGGAGACGTTTCTGGGGGCATCTGGCTAACTGATATTTTTGTGGGGAATTTTATAATTGTTGATATGTACAAAGTATAATTATTAATATTATGAAATCAAGTTTTTCCTGAGTATAAAGTAGACTTTTGAGAAAAGGGTAATAACATTTCATTACCTTTATGTGTATAGATATTAGACATGGAATCTGAAGTTTTGTTTAGAAAGTACAGGATTTCACCTTAAAGGAAAATAAATTGAAAAATGTCTCAATAATCATAAAATTGTGTGCATAATTAGATAGCAAGTAGAAGTCACTTATTTAAAGAAAACATTGCAAGTATGATATAGATGAGTGCTATTTTAAATCTGATATTTTGCTCCAAATGGTTTTATAGCTCCTGTGCTGTGGTTACCATTGAGGTTCAAAAAATTCCATAGTTTAAAAGGCAACATCCACGTTATCACCAAGAATGCATTTTTTTCCCTTCTGCCAACAGCCAAGCCCCATGCCACTTCCCTCACCAAATGCCTGGGTTTTTAATTAATGTGCACTTCCTAGATTTGGCAGCATAATTGTCATAGTGCTAAAGAAAAACTTGAGTTGAAAATCTTTAAGGCAAAATGGAATGATTTAATAGAAGATGTTCTCCTAGACCTGATGTCTCAAGCATTTCATGTACAGACTTATCAACAAACTACAAATGGGTTAGTAGCTAGTTCCAGAAGTGATGAAAATATTTATTTGCATTAAAAGCAAAGAAAAGCAGTATTTTCTAAAGAGGTATGTTGTTTTTGAGGTTTGAAAGGAGATACTTTTATGTTTAAGTGATAAAATTACAGTTAAAAGTCAACTCTTAGTGTTATACAGGGTACTTCATAAGCTTGTGCACATCCTGCATTGATAGGTGTGTAGCTCAGTTGTGCCCATTTGGTATAAAGTGTAACTTGTGCATGCATCAGAGCATAATTAAGCTTCTAGAAAATACTTTTACCTGACTGCTTCTGGGGTCCATAATGTGGTTAAATCGCGAGTGGAACAAATTATGGTGAAATAGTTAACTTTGACTTATGCTTTCTTAAATAGTAAGATGAACTTGAGTTACTCACAGAAGACAACTTTTGGAACTTAATATACTTAGGCAGACATTGTGATTGCTGTAATTAAGGAAGTTGTAAGGTTAATGGAGCTGCCAGCCTTGGCTCTACTCCACGCCTGTATAACTTTTCCATGAAACTGTGGCTTAAATATTTTGTCTGGCACTAGTTTCTATTGTGTAGTTCTTACTGTGTGACAGTAAGAAGGACCAGAAAGTGATGCTCAGCTTTGAGGGGACTGTTGGAATTGACAATTTGATTAGAATACTTTGTATAGTAATCTCTCATGCACTTACTGTTAGGAGTGGAGAAAGCACTCATACTCCAGTTCCACTGATCAAGTTACATAATGAACTTAAACTCGGCTTAATTAAACTTAGCTATTTGGGGGTGATCACCAGTATAAATAAATATGGGCTCAGAATAGAATCATATTATTGGACAGGAGTTTGTAAAAGCAGAGCCGCTCTTTTTTCCTTTGCTTGCTTGATCATTGGGGTTTTTTTTTTTTTTAAATTTTAATGCATGTCTTTTAAATTAATTGGGTAATGTTTTTCTAAAATTAAAATTTTCTTCTTCCTATAGCCCTGCCATAGGACAGGCTGAGGCTGAGTCTCAGTGTTGCCCTGTTCAGTCTGAGGCAAGTGGGATTTATTTTATTCCTTATAGGGGCTTTCACAGCTTTATGGCTGTTGGATATTTATGTCCCCAAACTTGCAGCAAGTTTGGTGAAGGCCCCTAAATTTAATTAAATTTAGGATTTTTATACTCTTTTGGCAGAGAAGGCTCTATATTAATATTTATGTTTGACTGTGGTGTTAATAAGCATAAGTAAAAAGTAATAGATGTGATTTTATGTGATTTACTTTGTGTTGCATAATTAACAGCCTCAGTAAAGTTGGTATTCCTGTATTTACCGTTTGTGAATTGACAAAATTTCATATACTTGATTTTGAGGCATGAGATGTTTCAAATTTTCCACTTAGATCTTAAGGAAAATTTTATTGGTTATTTCCTCCTAAACTACTAAATTTAACCTTAAGGATCCTTAAGTTTAATCTTTGGAAATGCTACTGGATACTGAAATCTGCACATTAAGGTTGAAAGGTCATTTGGAAATGCTTGTGATTTTTAAAGTTTTCAGACCTCACCACATTAGAGCTAATGTTAATGTAGAGCCCTGTGGACAGTGGGAAGATGGTGCTATATGTTTGTGGTATGTATGTATATACATTACACATTTGGCTGAAAAGTATAATAGAAAGTTTGTTACAGACCTTTCCTATTAGATTACTGATTTTAAGATAGCCAAACTGAAATTGGAATCATTTGATAAGGTAGTATATTAAACTATTTGGAACCATTTGAGATTTGTTTTCTGCCTTACTGAACACTAATTTATGCAGTATTCACACATGGAAAATACTTGTTTCCAACTAAAACTTCTTTCATTTTATGAGAAAAGTTGTGTGTGTGTTTGTATGTTTGTTGTAGAGGGTAAAGGAGGCTGTGGAGAGAGATCAAAACAAAAGCCTGGATTCTTTTGTCGTTCATGTATTTAAGCCACCTTTCTATCCAGACAGCATTTTCTTCTGAACAATAATATTTAACTTCCAAACTGGGATTGTATTTCTATGTGCTTTTAATTTTTGGAAGCATCAAATATATACATTAAGTGAATTTCAGATTTTTGCCTGTTAATCCACTTAATTAAAACATGCCTTTTTTCACTGTAACTGAATCTTGGGATAAAAGATCTTTATGACTGAAAAAAATTTGTGACAGCAAAAATAGTCCATTACAATATCTGATGCCCTGCTCAAGTTACATTTAAGACTCTGTAATTGGAGATGTTTTCTATTGCCCTCATTATCCCCCCATATACCGAAATAATTCAAGAGTAAAACTGCCTGTCCTGATCAGTAATAGTGATTAATTGAAGTCATTAAAAATGACCCTTGGTACTGAAGGTGGGTGGGTTTTCTTAGAGGTAGAATAATTTGTTGAAAGTATTAATACCTAATTTAAAATACAGTTTCTTTGTTGTCTCTGTAGTTCTGTGATGTAGAAAAAATGCGATTTTGGAAATTCTATAATTTTCAGTTGTTTATTTTGTCCACTGGTGAAATGTGGTAAATGAAATGTTGATATCACCTCTTCAGTGAGAAAATTTTTTTTGCATTAACTGATACTTGAATTGATGAGGGGATAAGAAATAAGGAATGTGTACCCTCCTTAAGTATTGTGTAAATCAGGTATGTCCTTTTTTCAAAGGTGAAATACTCCTTACAATATTTAATAACCTTTTGTGTCTTCTTCTGAAATGAAATTGCTTTTTTTATGGGAAAATGTTATAAATGGAAGATTCAGGGCAGGTTTTTTTAAGTAAACATTTCCCCAGTTTGACTTCTGCTAAATACCTCATGACTTGAAATTAGTGAAGGGTTTTTTTTTTAACCCTTACTCAGTATTTTGCTTTCTGTTATCTGAATCAACAAGTAATGTTTTGTTTTTATAGCATAGAAATCATCTAACACTTCTGTGTGATGTTTCTGGGCAAAATAAACTTTTTAATGATGTATGTCATGCACATAATGGATATTCACAATTTTGTAATGAATCTTCAGAACTACATATTTAATATCTCAGCATTTAGGCATTCCCTATAATGTTATAATTCAGTTATAGCTTCCTATTTTAAATAGATCCATATGTTTTAATGTTCTTACTTGACTTTTTTGTTGAGCAATCCGTTTGAAAAGAGACTTTTTAAAAAGCAGTTTCTTCAGTAAGGCTCAGAAGAGAATTGCTTTTAGAAACATTGTTTTTCCTGCTCTGGGATCTATACATTTTTGCATAGTAATTTGGCAATAAAAGGAAGAGCTTTTCGTTCTTCCCAACTCTAGAAAAACCTCTTTGAAGTTTTAGAATCTAAGTTTGTTGAGCTGATCTCATATTCTCAGGGGAAAGTATTTTTGTTTACTAAGCAGGACGTAAAAGTCATATTAAGCAAAAATTGGAGCCCCAAAGAGCTCACTGAAGCTTAATTTCAACTTTTTCTGAAGCAAATTATAAATCAAGACTGGTTGGTTCATGGTTAGGTTCTTTCATGTTAATCACCAGCTATTTTATGAGACTTAATTTTGATCATATTAATAACTACAGAGAAGAGCCATGTGAGTGAACTATTATAGTCAATTACTTGGACTCCACCCATTAATTCTAAATGCTATAGTGCTGTGTCTGAGGTTGTCATGGCACACCTATGTTAATAGCTGTGTGTTTGGTCAAGGGTTTATGTAGTACTGTGTTTGTAAAAAGATAGTCCTTTTTACAATTCTCCCAATCCTCTGGCATTCTCACTGTGTCTGGGGTTTTGTTTTTGTATTTCACCATGATGGATAATGAATTCTATTTTTCACCTTTCATTAAGTTTGAATAACTCAATGACAATGGATTCCCCATTTATTACAGTCAAAATAGTGATTATCTGAAAGAGGCCATTGTATATAATGTCAAAGTTAATGTAATGAAAGTTAACAGCACTCCTGTTTGCATGTTACAAGATTTTGCCAAATCATTTATTATAATTCAGTGCTCATTCTTAACATTTTCCAGTCTCTCTTAATGAAATGAGGTTGCTTAACCACCCAAGTAGACAAGGAGTTTAAAGTCCCTTTAAGTTTGATTTAGAACAGTTTCATTTTGGGCAAAGCCTTCCTTTTAGATATTGACTTGTTTAATGTGCTTCCAGTAGAATTTACTTTTCAGTCCATGTTTTTAAAATTGAAAATCTTTATTGAGATTAAGATTTTTGAAAATTAAAAGCTATTAAGAATTGCTTGCCTCAGATGTGTCTCTATATGTATATTTAAATATAGAAATTACAACATTTGAGAGGTTCCCCGCCCCCCAGATATATGGCCCTCCTCCCCGCTTTTTTAGAGTAACTGAAATTTTGCGGTAGTACAGTTTATTTTTCAAAATGAGATGTGTCCGAAATACACAGTGTTCTTAACTCTAAGGTCAGTTACTGTAATATTTTTAAGACTTAGGGAAAAATTTTCAGTGTATTAATGTCAGGCTCTGAGGAAATTAAATGCACATTGACTTTTAAGCTATGGATTGAACTCCTCAGTTTAATACAATTTGTGTTTTTGTTAACTAGCAGCAGAATTTCAGCATTTGCTACTTACTGGTAGAGAAGAAAAATCCCACAGCCCTGCCAGTACAGGTTAGTTTAATCTGTAAGTACCTGATGTTTGTATTTTTTTCAAACATATCCATATAACCCACACAAGGAAGAAAGCTATGCAGTTACTTAAATGTGAGTATAACTAATAGTAGATTCATTGGACACTTTTAAACACTGAGTGCTTGGGCCATAGTAATTCTAGGTTTGCTAATCTCAGTTGTAATAAAGCTCCTTTATTATTTGGTTGAGGTTGAACCTAAATAGAAACCTTTTTTCTTAAAGGAGAAGACAGTGAAAATTTCCATTGGCTATATGTGCCCATGATGGTATTTGATAAGGAGTGCAAGGTTTTTGAGTCCAGGATCTTAGATTTAAGCCACTCTTTGGTGTGGTACTCATTTGCCTTTCAACTTTTTACAGTATGAATCAACCTAAGAAAAAAGTCAAGTCTCTTCACTGGTGTGCAATCATAGGCTTGAAAATGTTTTTATACTCCTTTTTTTTCTTTAAATGTTAGTAATTCTTGCTGTAAATAATTTTTGTTACCTTTTTATTTTTTTGTAAACCACCTATTCTGTTGGTATACCACCACTGTGGGGTTTTACTTTGAACTAAGAATGACAAATCTTATTAATACGCAAATGAAAACAGACTTCCCATCAAGAAATCAATCTAGATGATATTCTTCATGTATTTCTTTTGAAGGGGATAGAGACAGTAATGTGTTGTGAAGGTTATATTAATGGTTTTATTTTCATTGGTTTTACCAGTTTATTATTGTCCTGACCCCACCCTGAGAGATTTCCTTTTAAGTATTTTTCTTTTAATGTTAAGCAAAGAAAATTAGATTAAAAAAATAAGCCACCAAGAAGAGAATAAAGCATACAAGTTTAGTTTTTATAAGCCTGAACCATCCTTCCAATCTGTGAGGTTGATTAGTATACATGACTTACTCCTTTTACCTAAGTGTAATGACTAATTTGAGACAACTAGTCATAAAACTGACTCCTCTTGTACTATCTAATTGGGGTGGTGGTTAGCCACTTAAAACGTTATTAAATGTTATTTTATGTAAAGGTCATGCATTTGGTTAAAATTTTTTGACATTAACTTATTAGCTGATAATATATATTTTATAAGATTCACTGGTTTCTTAGTATCAAATTACCTGAGGGCTTAAGTTTCATTGCATTTCACAGTTTATAAGAAATGGCATAGATACATCGAAATGGTTTTCCTTAAAACTAGCTCTTTAAAGCTTCTGGTGAGTACTCAAATTTTGCCTATCAAAATTTTTCCTTTAAAATTTCACTTAAATGGGATGCTTAGTTCACAAGAACTGAGAGAACTGAATTTTTATATTCATCAGGTAATGGTATCTTAATCAGGAATATTAGGAAGGTTAATTAGTAGGTAGGTACTTAGGATTTTTGGTAGTTCCAGGTTCACCTTTGCATTAATTTGACACAAATTATTTCCTTTTGGTGACATGAAAAGGTGTTTTTACTCACAACCAACAACCATTAAAGAAGTTTTAAAACTAGGTTTGCTTTTTCGTTGACAGTCAAAAGCTTTCTCATGCTTTGAGTTCCCAAGTTGCATAGGTGTAAAACTATCTAAATTTCTGTCCATTGTTCTATTCAGCTGTTAGAGATTTGTGAGCAATTAAGCTGAAGGTAGTGTTTGAAGGAACACCCAGTCTCATAATTGCTCAGTAGGATCTGTTTGAATGAGACTTGATAATTTGAAGTGTAATCTTAAATCTGTCAGAAACAATGATTTCTGGGATTTGTATGCCAGTGAAAACCTGAGGATATTTCCAATTAAATGTGTCCTGTTCCATATCTTGCGACAGTATGTTACACATGATTTTTAAATTTTTTTTTACCTATTTTTAGCCACATCCTTGCTTATGTCAGTAAGGCTAAATATGTTTTCACATATTTCCTGTTGGGATCTTTGTAAACCAATAATGAACAGTCAGTAAATGCTTTTTATTATGAACAATGATAGTGTCTAAAGTTGTCTGGAAATTGATGTCTGAGTATGTGATAATGGTGATGTATTCTTCTAGTTAAGCACTAAACAAAGTGTGGACCCTCAATTTATGTCTTTAAGATTTAAAGTGAAGTAAATTTCTAAGGAACTCTGTCCTTTCCTAGCAAGAATAAACAGACATTGAAAACTTGGTAAGTATGTAACTTTAAATGCATGTGATAGTCATGAGAGTAAGTAGCCAAGTTTCCTTAGTTTAAGATAATATTTAGACATGAAGAAGAATCCCTGAATCTCCTTTGCGACTCAGTATGTGTGTGGCTAGCATTTTTACAAATTTGTGCTTAATTATTAAATTGATACGTGCTTTACTCCTTTGTCTGGTTTGTTTTATTTTGTATCGTGTTTAAATACTAATTTTATATTTCAAGTTCTTTTCAGGGTAGACATCAGTGGCATACCCTTGCCATTTCCTTTATTGAACATGAAGGAAAATTTATCTTTGATAAGAATTGTTTAAATACACTATTTAAAGCAGTGATTTTGTTTTTCAGCTCCAGTTAAAACACAATAAATAGGCAACTAATCTAAAATGGCGGGGAGGGGGGAGTCGTGTTCTTTTCTGGATTATTTTGAGGAATCGTTGCATAATAGTAAAATGTTATTAAGCCAATACTTTAATTGCATGAAAGCAATGCTTTTTAAATTAAGAAGAAATGATGATAAGATGTTACTCCACCCTCACCCTTGTTCTGTGATAACCATGTATTAAATAAGATTAAAGTACAAACATTTTTACTTGTTACACTCAGGACGATGATTTATTTCTGAGAAGTAAATCGTTTTCTATGCATACTAGTACAGCATTAATTAAATTTGTGAACTGGTGTAAGATCCCAATAGGTTGTAGGAAAGAGTGGGGACCTTTCCCTCAATTCATTCTCCAGGCAAGGAGGGCAGCAAAGAGCAAAATCACACCAGGAACTTAGGTAAGGAGGACTTGAACTTAAAAGGATTAAATGGCCAGTTCACCTGTATGATTATGTGGTTTAGCCAAGCACATAATAGTGGCCTTTTTTATTTTTAAAGATTTATTTATTTTTTTAATTCAAGAATTGGGGTACAGGCCAGAGATGGGGGGTGGTGAGAGGATTCACCAGAGACAGAGCAGGGAACAGAACAGGCAGAAGGACCAAAGACACTGCTGAGGGAAGCAGCAGGCGAGACAGGAGAGGTCTGTCCTCCATGTGGGTTTCTCCCTGGCTGGCCTGGAATTGAACTCGTGCTGTAGTGGCTGTGGATTGCTTCATAGGTTGTGCCTTAATCCTTGCGCCACCAGGGAGGCCCAATTGTGGCCATTTTTAAATGTGATTAAATTCACTCAAGCTTGTAATTAAATAGCTTTAAAAATTTGCCAACATTAAATCTACTTAATTGCTAGGGTCATGCATACATATATATTTTTCCCCCCCATTTTTGACAGAAGCTTGTGCAAAAGAAAAGTGAAGTGGGTGACTCGGCATTTGTGATGTTTGATTATGTGGAATAATTCCAGTCTAATGGTAGGGTCTGTGGTAGAAGTACTCTTTAATGTATGAGCCATATAATAACTAAGACTTAGAATTCAGAAAAGACATTGATACTTTTCTCCTTTGAGGTGTTTCAGGGTTATTAGCATTAACAAAGCTAAAGTACCATTTGGAAAATGTTGCTTTATTTTTCTAACCTGAAGCAATTTTCAGTTTTGAAAGATTTGCCGGCCTCTTGTTTACAAAGGTGAATAAAAGTTTGCATATTTGAGCCCATGTCATTAAGTTGTTTACTGAATGATTTATATTGAGAATGGATAATGATAGGTATCAGTTGTCCCTGATTAGTTCTTGTGCTCTGGGAAATAGAAGACAGTCATTTTTGTTAAATATGGAATGTCTATACAGATAAAGGGGTAAAACAAAGATTCTCATTGTGGGTAACATGATAAAAGTTGTTTGAGAAGGTGGAATTAGTATTATGCTTTAGACTAAAATTAGAGCATGAAGTCAAATCTAGTTATGGTAATAATTCCCCAGGCCTGTGAGAAAGGTTACCATGTGAGAAAGCTTTCTTGCCAGCCAGTTCAAATGAGGGTGGGGTAAGGATAGGCAGTTAGTGAAAATCTAAACTATTAAAGTGTACATTAGGGCCTCCCCGGTGGCGCAGCAGTTGAGCGCTGGGTTGCGAAGCTGCCCGCAGCCTCTGCAGTGCCGGTTCGATCCCCAGCGGCTCCCCGGCCACCGGAGGAGAAGGGTCCCACATGGTGCGCAGACCTCTCCTGCCGCCCGCTGCTCACCTCAGCAGTGTACTTTGGTCCTTCTGCCTGTTCTGCTCCCCGCTCTGGTGAATTCTCTCACCCTCCCGCGCTTCTGACTGTACCCAGTGTATGCATAAACAAACAAACAAATAAATAAATAAAAAACCATGCCTCTATTTAAAAAGAAAAAAAAAATAAAGCGTACATTAATGGGTGTCCCTGGTGGTGCAGGCGGTTGAGTGCAGCGCTGTGAAGCTGTCTGCAACGTCTGCTGTGCTTGTTTGATCCCCTCTGGCCTCAGAGCAACCCACATGGCGAGCCAGACCGCTCCTGTCTCACCCGCTGCTCCCCTCAGCAGTGTATTTTATTAGTCTGCCTCTTTTGTAGCCTGCTCTGTCGCTGGTGAATCCTCTCATCCTCCCATGCATCTGGCCTGTACCCCGGTTCTTGTATAAATAAAAAATCTTTTTAAAAGTGTACATTAATGCATATTATATATTTTGATAATGTGTACAGGTAAGAAATTTATCTGAAAAGGGATCTTAGAATTGAGGATTTAATTAGTCAGCACTTTGGGTAACTATTGTAGGCAGAAGGAATGCTAGGCACAAAAACGGGTGTGAAAGCATAGAGTCCTGGAAAAGATTGTGAATTGTAGGTTGGTTGGTTGGTAGGTGTGTGCTTTGAGCTTGGAGTGAGAGATGGACCAAGTCACATGGGACCATACTTTCTATTGTCTGATGGAAGCTGCTGACAAGACTTTGAGCTGGTAAGGTTTGATTTTTTTTAAAGATGCTAATTTGGATGGTGGAATGAAGGAGGTGGTGGCAGTTTGTGGGCTGTGTAGGGTGTAGTTAAAAGACAATCTGGCTCAAAAGCTAGTGACTGGATGATCACGGAAAAAGTTGAAGTGGTGGTAGCCACTATTGATGTAAACAGCAAAGGAGAGCAGAGAGTGTTAAAGGTGAACATAGTACCCACTTCTGCTCTGTAAGATTCATTAAGGACTTGTTTTTGCTCTACTAAAACTGGTAAAAAGGTCTCTTGGACAAAGCTTCGTGAAAAACATGATTTGTGTTTTTCCAAGAAGATTAAAGGGATTTTTGAGAAATAACTTCCCATGAGATGTTAAAGTAAAAAGTTCCCGTTGTCAGCACAGTGAAAGATTAACTCCAGAATAGGTAGGCTAGATCAGCAATAACAAAAACATAAATAGCTACTGAAATCACCTACATCATATAGGTGATTAAAATAAATGAAAGAAGGGGTTAGGTCGGCACTATCAAGCTATTGGCAGCCACTGAAGCACCTTTTGATCCCTAACCCACATGGTGCTGCAGACCTCTTCTGTCTGCGTGCTGTCCGTCCCCCCCCTCCAGTAGTGTATTTCAGTCGATCCACCTGTTCTGCTCCCCATTCTGTCTGGTGAATGTTCCCCCCATCCCACACCTCTGCCTTATACCCCAGCTCTTGTATGCATAAATAAAAATACCTTTAGAAATAAACACACCCACTGGAGAGTAATAAACTCATGATCCCTCTAAATATGGCTCCTGCCTTGTGTTGTGTTTGGCCAGTATTGTTAGATTTCATTTATCTAGAAAAGTTTAAAAAATTTAGGGCAGCTCTCACTAGCAAGCAAACTAGATTGTCCCAAAGAGGAAGAAGGTCTGATAATGGAAGAGAGGCAAATGATTAGTCAGCATGGTGGAGCATGATATCAAGGGGGATAAGCTGCTGACTAGACTGATGTGGTTAAAGCAGTAACTGGCCAGTGGAATTCAATTGAATGTTGTAGGTGGGAATAAATACAAGAGTGTTCAACAGGACTTCAGTTCCTAGATTTTGGAACAATGAAGTACCACAGCGGGATTGAGATCACATACTTGGATAAAGAAAATACCTTAGAAATTGTCATCATAGGGGCCTCTATGGTGGTGCAAGGGGTTAAGATTCAACCTATGAAGTTCGATCTCCAGCCAGGGAGCTACCCACATGGCGCAGCAGACCTTTCCTGACTTGCCCTCTGCTCCCCTCAGCAGTGTATTTCAGTGGTTCTGCCTGTTCTGTTTCCTGCTTTGTCTCTGGTGATCCTGTCACCTCCTGTACCTCTGGCCTGTACCCCAGTTCTTGTTGAAAAGAGAATCAGTTAAGGGCTTCCCTGGTGGCGCAGTGGTTGAGCGCTGGGTTGCGAAGCTGCCCGCACCCTCTGCAGCACTGGTTCGATTCCTGGCTGCTCCCCGGCCACTGGAGGAGGATCCCACATGGCGTGCAGACCTCTCCTGCCACCCGCTGCTCCCCTCAGCAGTGTGCTTCGGTCCTTCTGCCTGCTCTGCTCCCCGCTCTGGCTCTGGTGAGTTCTCTCACCCTCCCGCGCTTCTGACTGTACCCATTGCTTGTATAAATAAATAAATCTTTAAAGAAAAAGAAAAGAGAATCAGTTAATTGGAAAGTAATGAGTTTTCCAGGATGGTAAGAGACAAGAATTACCTAGTGTTAGGCCTCCCTGGTGGAGCAAGGGGTTAAGCACAGCACTATGAAGCAATCCCCAGCCTCTGCAGGATGAGTTCTATTCCATGCTGGCCGGGGGCAACCCATATGGTATAGCAAACCTCTCCTGTTGAGCCTGCTGCTCCCGGCAGCAGTGTGTTTTAGTCAGTCTGTTTTGCTCCCCACTCTGTGTCTGGTGAATCCTCTCATACCTCCTCCCCATCACACCTATGGCCTGTACCCCAGCTCTTGTATAGATGAATCTTGGGAGGGGGAAAAAAAACATGCAACCTATGAAGTTGCCCGCAGCCTCTGCAGCAGAAGTTCAATTCTGGCAAGGGAGCAACCCACTTGGGGCAGCAGACCTGTCTTGCCTATTGCTCCCCTCAGAGTATTTCAGTCGATATGCCTGTTCCCCCACTGTCTTCTGGTGAGTCCTCTCACCCTCTGCACCTGTGGCCTGTACCCCAGTTATTGTATTCATAAATAAACCTTAAAATATCTAGTGTTAGTGTATGGTTACATGGTTTTTATACCTCATTGTTGACATTTTTGGCCAGGTAAGTCCTTATTGTGGGGATCTGCATCTGCTCTTTGCAGGGACACTGCATCATATACTAGGACCTCCTCCCGGTTGTGACCCACCCCTGACCAGGTGTGACAAACAAAAGTGTTCCCTAGATATTGCCAAATCATCCCCAGATTGAGAAGACTTGAGAAAAATTTGAATGACTTGAGTTCTCAAGAAATAGGTGGTGGGAATGGCAGACAATATTGGAGAAGAATGAAATATTTGTAGAATTAAAAAAACATGAATTTTCAGACTAGGTGGGCATCTTGAGGACCAGGCAGGATAAAGAAAAACCCACCACCAGACACATTATTGTAAAATTGTGGAACATCAGGAGAAAACATTATTTACAAAGAACCACCAATTACTGTCAATCACACTGACTTAGCTTGCCAGCAACAACAGGCCAGAAAACAAGCGATGTCTCTCAAAAGCTCGGAATTTTGTGGCCACGGCCCGCGCGGCGGGGCCTGGCCGGCCAGGAGCGGGCCGCCTCCACCCGGCACTCTGGAGCCGAGGCCGCCCGCGATCGCGCCTCGCCGGCCCCTCCCGCGGTCTCCTTGGCCGCCGTACCGCTGCTGCAGGCTAGCTAATGGCCAGGACAAACACTGGAAAATGCAAAACAACGAAATTATAAAACCTGCCAAATACTCAGAGTTGGAAAAGAGTATCCTGCTTGCTTTGGTAGAAAAGTACAAATATGTGCTGGAATGTAAGAAAAGTGATGCCCGAACTATTGCCCCCAAGCAGTGCACCTGGCAGGCGCTGGCCCACGAGTACAACTCTCAGCCCGGCGTGTCGCTGAGGGATTTCAAACAGCTGAAGAAGTGCTGGGAGAACAAGGCTCGGACCAAAAAAATTAAGGCCCATGGAAGGAGAGAGAAAGCGAAACTAAGCGTCAGCCCCCTCCTGAGCACCCACCTGCTGGGGAAGGAGAAGATCTCCAGCTGCCCGAGCAGCTCTACTTCTCCAGAGCTCTCTGGAAGAGGAGCCCCAGTTCCATCCGGGCCCCGCAGCCCAAGAATCATTTGCTGTTTCAAATAGAGAACTGTGCGATGATGAGAAAGAGTTCATACATTTTCCAGTATGTGAGGGGACCTCTCAACCTGAACCCACGTGTTCAGCTAATAACAGCCAATAAAAATAATAAGGAATAACAGCCAATAAAAACTACAGGAGCAAAACCTCTCAGGAAGGTGCTTTAAAAAGATGCATGAGAAAGAACACCATCAACAAATGTCCATCTTACAACTGCAGCTGATACAAACGAATGAGGTGCCTGTGGCCAAAATCCAGCAGATAGAGCAAGAGTGTGAGATGGCAGAGAAGGAACACAGAATAAAAATGGAAGTTCTCAGTAAAAGAAGATGTATTGGGAAAGAAAACTGCAAACTTTTACCAAGGAATGGCCCGTTTCCTCATTTAACCAGCCCTTTCCCAATTCACCCTAAGACTTTGGGGATGGCACCTTTGTGATTAAAGAAAGTCTGGAACACAAACTCACGGTCAATAATTTGTGACTGAGCTATATCTAGGAAAATTAGAGCAGTAGGAGTCACTTATTTAAGAATTCATTCAGGTAAACAGTTGCACCCTCTGTACCCTCTCTAAGTGGCAAAGAAGCTATTAGCATCTTCTGAAAATTATCACTGAGTGCTATAATTCTGAATGTAATGTCTCTTAATTAGAATTCATACAAGAACCATGTGTGAGTATTGTATTTTTTTTTAAAGATTTATTTATTTATACAAGCACTGGGTACAGTCAGAAGCACAGGAGGGTGAGAGAATTCACCAGAGCCAGAGCGGGGAGCAGAGCAGGCAGAAGGACCGAAGTACACTGCTG